CGCTCCTGCTTGTAGCCCATGCCGCATATCCTCAGTGATGTTGTAAACCTCCTTTTGCATACGGCTAATGACATGGATTTGCCGAATGCATCAGTGCTGGGCACAGCCCCGGTTGTTTGTAGACCATACTGGGCTTTCTGATCCATGATGTCCTCCCTGCAGGTTGCGTGGCCTGTGCTTGTCAGCCCGCCGTTGCAGGGCATCACCTGTTTACTCTGCGTGTTTGCCTGATGCTGAGACGCACGTTTATCAATGCAGAAGCGCGTACAATGGAAACAAGTCCTAGTCTGCTGAAGGGATCTGCGAAGATTAAAGAAAAAAAAAAATCTTACCTTTAAGATACTTCTGTGACTGATTAACTCCATGTCAGTAACGTGATCTGATTTCCTTTGCTCATTCAGCTCCATTCTATGAAAAACGTGTTGTAGAGGCACCTGTGGTCACTGCGTAAGACGTTGTGCCAGTCACTGGGGGGGGATTGGTTGGGGTTGTTTGTGTGCCAGTCACTAGGGGGGTTGTTTGTGTGCCAGTTGCTATTAATCAGGGCTTACGTTTTGTTGTGCAAAAAGGAAGCTGAAGGGATTTTAGCTCTAAGGTTGGCCATACACTTAAAGGAAAACTTTGAGGTGAGTGTTTTTCACTCGCCTCATAGTTCTAGTCGACCTGTGACAATTAAACTGTCACAGGTCGGCTCAGTAGATCGGGAGGTGAGCAAACACATACCGGCGTTCTCTCACCTCTCGATCCTGTCACAGCTCTCTGCCGTGACAGGGGAGGGCCTGGATTCCCCGCTCCCCGCTCCGATCCTCCAACACTGACTGGTGGAACGGACGGGGGAGGGGGCGGGTACAGCTGGCTCTGCCTCTAGATAGGCAGACCCAGCTGTCACTTACACGGCTGGGCGGATCTCGACATCGATGTCGGGATCCGCTGCGGCGTCTCAGTATACCGCAAGCTCGTGTTATACTGAGCTTAGGGTGACTGGAGGACGCTAGTTTGTGTGCTCCCGTTACCCTAAGGAGAACTATGAGGAAAAGCCCTGACCCCATACTTCTCCTTTTAAGGGGCTCATGTATAAACCTTTAGCACAGCATTAAGCTACGCGAATGCCGCTCACACTGCTTTACCACCACCAGATGGCACCAAGGAGCCTTCTAACGGTGGTAATGCTGTGCAAAGGGTGTACACCCAAGCCTTATGCTGGGTGGAAGGTTTATAAATGAGCCCCTTTCAGATGCGCGGTCCGATCAGGTCCACCTCTCAGTTTTTCAGGCGGACCTGTTCGGAAGGAGGCTGGATGGAAACATTAACACCAACAAAAACACCCCACCCCGCTGCTGCTGGGCTATTGCATTCCAATAACGGAGGGTGTATCTACATTATGCAAACATTCATTCTAGTGCCTTGGGTGTTTTTTTTTTGTAAACCATACAATGTAGAAATTCTACTTGCACTTCTATTTGCACTTCTTTCCTGCCTTTTGTATACCATCTTGTCCATGTATTTCTTGGGCAGCACCAATGCTGTTGAACTACAAATCCTATTTATGGAATATTGGAACCAGTAGTTCCCCAATGCTGTCTAGTGCCCAACCTGCGGCCATTGGGTCCCCCACAGTCTGTTTCCCCCTATTGCACTGTGATAGTTATCTCTAGCGGTCTCATGTAGCGCGTCTCCAGTCTATGAATGTGACCAGAGCCAGGTTTCCAGTCCCCAATAATTCCGATAGCATGATTGAAGTCTTTCACCATCTCCCGTAGCATGGCTCTAGTTAGTGGCGCTGCCTCCTCGATTGGACAGACTGGATCCTCCCATAAACTCCATATTAAGTGGTCCATACCTGCTCTAAAAGGATTATGTTGTGCTAAATATTGTGTGTGGCCCTTTGGTGATGAGGGGCTGCACTTGAGGCCCTCTATATCTGGAGTTGACCATCCTTGGAGCTGGCTGCTTCTACGGTCCCTGAAGCCTGTCTCCTCTGCTGCTGTGATGGCATATCCCTCAGCGTCCTCATGTCCAATACACTCTGTGTAGATCGTGATGACTCACAGGACCTTAATCTCTGCTGTAGAGGAGGAAAGGGGCTCCAGGAACCGGTCAGAGCAAGCCGGTCTTGAGGATCAGGTGAATATTACTTATCTAGCCGGTGTAAAAAAAATGCGATCCACTGCAAGGGTTAAGAACAGTTGGGCCTGGAGTTCTGCTTTATAACTGTGGTCCTGACAACTCCGAAGGGCCACACATTGATGGGTTCCGGTGGTTTTTGTTTTGTCTCAGTTGGACTTCTAGCAGTGGTTGTTGCATGTGCTTTGATATGTTCCAGATCAGACAAAAATTGTGCATGCCGTACTTTTCTAAACGTTCTGTAACTGCAGTGGTGTGAACCAGCCTCACTTTTTACCGTAGGAGTTAATGGGGGTTGGTTTTTGGACCAAACGAAGAAAAAAAAGCCCATTCTGCTCTGGATCAGGACATGGTATGAATGGTCACATTGCTGCAGGAGATGGTCGGAGACTGGGGACATG